AGCTCCCTGGCTGCAGTGGCGTAGCGTGGGGGGTGCAGGGGGGGCCGGCCGCCCCGGGCGCAACGTCTGGGGGGGCGCGCTCGCACTCGCAGCTCTCTGCCCCTACCTGGCTCACTCACTCTCTCTCACTGCAGTGCTGGCTGTGTGAATCCGATCCGAGCCGCTGGGTCGCCGCCCACTGTGGAGGGGTGGGTGCCAGGCGTGCGGTGCAAAGAGAGAGCGAGGGACTATCTGGGGGAGGGACAGTGCAGCGGCTGCCCAGCGCAGCGCTGAGCGCGGGAGAGAACCACACCAGACCAGCCCAGGCAGCAGCAAGAAGAAGCTGGCAGCGGCGGCAGGTTAGGGGTTAGGGGGCGCAAATTACTTGCCTTGCCCCAGGTGCTGACAACCCACGCTATGCCACTGCCTGGCTGCTCATGGTCTCTTGCTCTAATCTTGCCCCTGAAGCTTGTGACCTCCTGTACCAGCTCAGGCTTGGTGACAAGCCAAACATTCATATAACTCTGTCCAGAATATGAGAACGTTGTTCCTGTGTAGGGAGCTTGTCCATCTCCCAGCAGACAAGATGAAAAATCCTGTTGCAGTTTATATGGGAAGGAACAGGAAACCCAAAACATGTTCACCAGGAGGGAGATTCATTCTGAACTGGAGCCTCCTCAACTCCTGTCGGTTCCCCCACCCACATCAGTTACCTTTTTGATTTTATGTGCCAACAGTCTGGTTTCATCCTGGTTCAAGTGGAACCTGTCCCTTTTGTACAGGTCCCCAGAATATACCCCAGTGCCTAACAAATCCGAACCACTCCTCCCGACACTATTGCCTTACTTACGCATTGAAACTAAAAAGCTGTGCCACTCTAGCTGGCCTTGCACATGGGACCAGTAGCAGGTCCTGGCTTTCAGCATCCTATCTTCCAACCTGAATTTGGCTTCCAGGACCTCATGCCTACCAGCATATCCTTAGAGTATCCTAAGAAAGGCTCCTCTTTCTTCCCAGCTACAGACAAACCAGCTTCTGTATCCTTCACTGGTTATGCTCAAATTGCTTCTCTTCCACCATCACCACTCCTGAGTAGTCAATTAAACAGTATAAAAACCTAAAGAGAGAATTATCTCCACAGCCTCAAAACAAAAGCAATTATGATTTAACCCATGGGTCCACTAATTAAAATTTGCCACCACGGATTAACTAACTGAATTTTTTATTTATCTGTCTACTGCTTAAAGGTTGCTGCTCTATTTCATATATCCCCCCCCCCCAGATCTCCTTGGGGGAAAACAGCATGATAATGCAAGCAGTGCTTGAGGTCAAGATCAACATTATATCATGTCCCTATCATGCGTGTCTTTGTAGGGGGGGAAAGTGTAATAAACACACACTTATTTTCCAGAGTATAGGTGTTTGATTCCCTCTGCTGGGTGAAAATCAGACCTGCAGCACTATTCTGAATAATCCAGTACAGCATCATACAAAGTATTTTGTTTTTGGAGTAAAAGCTTTGTTTGCAGTTGCAACATTGGTAAAATGCCCATTGTTGTTGTGTGTGGAGTGTGTATGGGAGGAGGCCTTGTCTATGGTGAGGACCACTTGGATGGCATGATGTGTACATCTGCATGTTTTGAATAAAAAACATGATGCACCCTGCTGTAGGATTCCTGACAGTGTTAGATAGGGTGAAGAGCAACTTTGGTCCCCACACTTAAAGTATTCCCAGGTCAATGGAAAGGAAAGTTATGGGTTAATTTAATCCACAGTCCCACACCCCAGCCCCAACCCCCAATAATTTTAGCCAATGCATCTCCTTCTGGCTGCATTCAGACAGCACATTATTTTGATGTTTCATTACCTGATCATCTCTTTCACATAACATAAAAGCCATTTCTGGAATTTTAGTGGTTTCTAGTGGATGTCTAGCATTTCTTTCTGTTTTTATTGTTTCCAGGAAAAAATATATTTTTGCAACCCTGTTAAACTTGGAAAAATCACTGGAAGAGGAGGTCTAATGAAATTTGGGGCAGTATCTCAGTCTGCAGTTCTTTCTTGCCATTTAAAATTTAGTGCAACCATATCAATAAAGAAAGCTGCAGTTCCGTCGCTCAACAGGTACTGCCGTGTAAAAGAAATGTTTGAAATCCACATAGAAGTGTTAGTATTATAAAATTTTAGTGGAGATCACAAAAACGAGAGCTAAAGCTACTCTCTGCTCCCTGAGTGGTCAGTTTCTTTCTTGGCCATTCAAGAGTGTTCCAGGATGCTGAAAGCTGGCATTTTTAGATACGTAAGACTATAATGGGGTAACTTGGCTAATTTTCTTAAGAATACATGCATCCCAGCTTCTTGTTCAAAACTCAAATGGCTCAAAGTGGCTAACAAAATAGACCAATAAGGCAATCGCAAAAAAATACACAACCAGACAAACAGTTTTCTTAATCTCAGGCTCCTTCCATACCCCCTAAAGTATTGAATAAATGCTTACTATTGTACCCACTAATAGAAGTTGTAGCAACTATTGGTTTGCTTGTAGTTTTGTATCACTTGTATGGTGATAGCACAGGACCAGTAACATTTTACAAAACTAAGAACAAAGTAGAAATAGTAAACTATTGTATGCTGCAAACACCCACCATCACATAATCTAGCCACTAACCTGCCCAGCTTTACCCCAGAATCTCTCAAGTGAAGAGTGGGGAAAGAAAAGAAATGACAGCAATAGGTTCATCACCTTCTGGGAAATAGAATAAAATTGAAAGAACCAGTCATCCTAAATGAAGAAAATTGCTTGGCTTTATTTCTTGGGAGTATTAGGGAAAGGAGAAACTCATCTTGAGAAACATAATTCTTAGAGCTGGACATCCCAAGTTGTTATAAAAGAAAAGCATGCTGCAAAATGTTTGGATTGTTTTGCTTTTCCACCTACTAGCTCTTAAACTATTTTTTGTGCCCCATGAAACTTGTACATTAATAGCTTTTGAGGCAAGAATCCTCTTTATAGCCATATATATTTAGAAGTGTAGGTATTTTCACTCATTGCTATTATCCAGTGTTTCCCCATTTTTATGTGGGAATGCCTGCTTTGAGGGCAAGAAGGGCGCATCTAATAAAATATCTCAGTATGTTTATTGTTTACTGTAAGTAATAGAACTGTCAGTGCTGTACTCAACTGTTTATACTTTCCTGCCAAGAAATGGGAGGAGACGGGCCATTTTTTATTGGTAAAGAAGGCATGACATTTCTGAGACTACTGTAGCCATAGTTTCTATCTGGCCATATGTCCCCTTCCAGCTACAGCGCCATGAGTTGAATTGAGTATGTGCAGGCTGATGTCACAGACAGAACTTCGCCTAGATTGCTTTTCAGTTTCCAACCACAACCGCAGCCTTTTGAGCAATTAATATTGAAAGTCAAATTTGAACTCTACATGGAGTCATGGAGATGTTATGAGAGGCCTTGTAGAGAGTGTGAAACATTATGAGGAGGACCAAACTGAACTGGTGTGTCTATTGTGCAGAAAAGCAAATGATTTTCTGTTAGTCACTATACTGTCACCAACCTTTGGGTTGTAAAGTGCCCAAGTATCAGGCCCTAGCTGCACGATATATTTAAAGCAGTGTCATACCACTTTAAACAGCCATGGCTTCCTGCAGTGAATCCTGGGAAGGTGTAGTTTGCTAAAGGGGCTGAGAGTTGCTAGGCGATCCATATTCTGCTCACAGAGCTACAAATTTGCAGACTTCCCTGGTTAGAGGGATTGACTGACTACTCTGGGGGGTGTTTCTGAAAGTTCTGTCCTTCAACAGCCAGATTGAATTTTGGAAACAGCAGTATGTCTTTGCAAGCATTCATTTTAGAAGATTCAGAAAGCATAAAATTGCCATGAGCTGGTTACAACAACAACAAAAATGGAAAGGGTGCAAGATGGCAGTTGCTGCTTCCAACAGAACAAATAAAACTGGTCAGGTACCAGGCCTAAATTGAAGCATGGAGCCAGCCCCTTCCAGCCTGAAGCACCTGTTTGAGCAAGCCCAAAGTCCTGCAGGCAGATTTTGGAACTAACTCCCACTGTAGAAGGGAAAAGGCTGATATAGCACCCACCCTCTGCTGCAGAATAAAGAGTAAATAAATTAGCAGAGCACAGTAAATTGGTTTGGTTATGATTTAAAGATTATACAGTTGTTTACTTCATGAAATGTTAAGCCCATTCCCTTTATAGCAGGCGCAGGCAAACTCGGCCCTCCAGATGTTTTGAAACTACAATTCCCATCATCCCTGACCACTGGTCCTGTTAGCTAGGGATGATGGGAGTTGTAGTCCCAAAACATCTGGAGGGCCAAGTTTGCCTATGCCTACTTTATAGCTCTCTCTCTCTCTCTGCTAGACAGGTTCTGCATTCCTGGTTAGGAATGGAGGGGGAATTCAATTCAGTTCACATTTCAAGGCAAATCCACCTAATTCACACTTTTTGAAACAATATGAGAACCCAAACACAGCCATCCTGCGAAATTTGCACTTCTCCGAATTTTGCAATGCAGTTCTCCAGCCAAGTAATGTGTGCAAGAATATATATGCTACTGTAAGGTGTGCATAAAAATGCATATATCAGTGAAAATAGCATACGAAATGCATTATATCAGGCAAAATTGCTGTGCAAAAATGTGTAAATTGTGTACAAGCTTGGGTATATTCAGGGAAATAATTCACACTTCAAATGCTGATAATTTTTCATGAATACTTAAAAAAATTCACAAGCTGCTTTGGAAATGTAGAGCACTGGATTTAAGACTGGAAAAATGAGAACCTGAGTGAAACTGAAATTGACAGATTTACCCATTCCTACCTCTCTTCTAGTTCATTAAAACCAGGTTCCAGTTTTGTAACTCTCCAGCCATTTCCTTCTAAGGTCTACTTTCTGTTTCCTTAAAGTGACAGGCACAACTTGTATAGGATTAATCTATTTAGAACACTAAAAAACCCATGAATCTTCCAGATTCCACTGTTTCTATGGTGGCGGCAGTAGATGCAGAGCCATCAGGAGGAGCCTCATGAGCCACCAGCAACAGCCTCCTCCACCCCCTCGGCCACCACCCCCTCTATACTTCCCCTCCCTCTATGACCGAACCACACAGAGTACCACCCTTGCTGATTGCAGCCTTTGGAGGAAGCTCTTTGTGCCACTGCGAGGAGGGGAAACAGGGTCAGCTGGGCCTCAGAGACCTCCACCTGGGCTTGGACTCCTCCCACCCGCCAATGAGCGCTGCTGCCCACCCCCCTGGCCAGCTGGTCTGGCCCCCATCCCCTATGAGCCATTGCGCTTCTTCTGTCCTGCTGCTGACAGCACACCCCAGCGTGGAAGTGGGGCGCATCAGCAGCAACAGCCAGATGGAGAGATTTGTGAGCTTGGCATCCGCCTGAAGGAACTGGAGCTGCTGGCACTCACTGGGGATGGCTCAGACCCACAGCAATGTGAGTAATCCAAAGGCTGAGATCTCAAAGCCTCTTTGTACAACCCTACCAAATATCCCTGAGGCTCTCTTGGTCTTGTACCATAATGATCCAGACATGTACCCTAACCATCCAGCCCAATGTCTTAAATGTAATACACATGAAAGATTTGGGGACATTGAACATGACATCTTACCCCTGCAATCCATCCAGATTTTGAGCTATTATACACCCTTTTCTTTCTTAGGTCCCCCCCCCACACACACAATAAGCTTAGATAAAGTCACTTATTTGTTCTTTTCCTAAGAGTACTTAAGCTTTTTAATCTGAAGTTGTTGTTTTTTTGAAGTGACAGACAGGGTTTCTCCATTCCACCCACCCCACCCTTAACATTCTATAATAAATCAGTAAAGAGATATTCCAAATTGGTCCAAACTACAGCAGAACTTGAAAGACCCATTGATAAAAATATATACCAAGTCACTCTCTACACAGACACATTCTATGGATGCAATTAAATGACCTGAAATTTCTTATTGTTATTCTAATAACAGATTTAAATGCCCTGAGAAACGTTCAAACTTTCTAATGCATCATCCAAGTGTTTTAGCCAAAAGATTGTAGCAGTTTCAAAACGGATTTTCATTTTGTAAAAGTCCGGTTTGCTAATCTGAGAAAATATTTTAGAACCTCTTCCAGATATTTGTGCAAATGAGCAATAGGCTCACCCCAGAAATATTGACGACCATTTCAGATACCAACCTGGAGGTCTTGCACAAGAAATAGTCTTAAAGGCTTTAACATTAAGATGTGGGTGGTTTGTTGTGGCAAGCAAGCAGCCCAGGTAAGCTGTAGAGGTTTAGTGAAATCTGAGGGGAGAGCAGGAGGGAGGGGTGGCGTTGGTCAAGGGTGTGGATGGAGGTGGGAGTAGATGGGCTTGGTGAGTGATGCAAGCAGGGAACAGCCCCTTGTGTGTCTGTGTGTGGATAAATAGATATGGATGGACACTTTAAGTCTTGTTTCATTGCTGCTATTTACATATATATTTAGTTTTAATGTTTCTTGTTATTTCTGTTTTTATTTTGCAAACCATTTTGAGACACCTTGGGTACAAATAAATGATCTGGAAGCATCCCCCAGTCAGAAGTGGAGCACCTATTTCCTCTTCTTTATTTAGCCCCAGTTTTTATTTAAAAAAGAGAGAGGACTCAGTCAGAACAAAAGAGGGCAGGAAGAAGAAAGCAATCCATTTTTAAAAAACAAACAGTTTGTGTCTCCCTTTAAGAAATAACATAGAACATTAAGAAAAGACAATGAGTGCATTCCATTTGTGGAGTCTCTCTACCAATGGCCATTGAAATGTATGTGTTTATTATTATTTTAACTTTGTTAAAGGCTAGAAGGCTGGTAATTGATCTGGCGGGTGGGGGAAGTGTTGGCCCTGTTTGACATTTACTGGGATCTCAATGTGAATAGATTGAAGGGACATTTATACACATGTGGTGGAGTTGTAAGAAAGCCAAAGAGTATTGGGAGATGATATGTTGTTGTTTGGTCGTTTAGTCGTGTCCGACTCTTCGTGACCCCATGGACCAGAGCACGCCAGGCACTCCTGTCTTCCACTGCCTCCCACAGTTTGGTCAAAGGGAGATGATATACTCAGAACTAAAAAAGATGTTAAGGATCTCATTTCCCAAGAAACCAGAGATGTACTTACTAAATATAGTAGGGGGGAAATACCCAAGAAAGTACTTAGTCTTTTCCTTTATGCAATAATAGTGGCCAGAATAATTTGTGCTCAAAGGTGGAAGGACAAAAATAGTCCCACAAAAGTAGAATGGCAGAATAAACTAATAGAATATGCTGAGCTAGCAATGGTAACTGCAAAGATAAGAAATCAGGATGAGTCAGATATAAAAGAAGAGTGTGAATACTTTGGCAAAGAAATATAACAATCAGATAAACCAAGTGGGGTTAGATATATGAGCAGCAGTTAAAAATAAGCAGAAGAGGAGTGGTAATTAAGGAAATGCAGCTTAATAAGAACTAAATAAGACCTCCACAGAGGGATGTGTGTGGAAGTTGAAGAGTGTAAGTTAAATGATGACAATTGTATAATCGATGTACAAAGATATATAAAATGCATTAAAAAAAAATACATTTACTGGGATCTCAGAAATGGAGAGAATTTGAGGCAATATTAGCATGAAGCCAGTCAAACACTTTGCCCCAGTTTTGGAAGTACAGTGGTGCCCCGCAAGACGAATGCCTCGCAAGATGGAAAACCCGCTAGACGAAAGGGTTTTCCCTTTTGGAGGTGCTTCGCAAAACGAATTTCCTATGTGCTTGCTTCGCAAGACGAAAATGTCTTGCGAGTTCCTGCGGGGTTTTTTTCCTCCCCCCCCCCTTTTTCCCAAGCCAAACCGCTTATCAGCTGATGGCTAAGCCGCTTATCAGCTGATCTTTAAGCCGCTTAACAGCTGATGCTAAGCCGCTTATCAGCTGATGGCTAAGCCGCTTATCAGCTGATCTTTAAGCCGCTTAACAGCTGATGCTAAGCCGCTTATCAGCTGATCTTTAAGCCGCTTAACAGCTGATGCTAAGCCGCTTATCAGCTGATCGTTAAGCCACTTATCAGCTGATCTTTAAGCCGCTTAACAGCTGATGCTAAGCCGCTTATCAGCTGATGGCTAAGCCGCTTATCAGCTGATCTTTAAGCCGCTTAACAGCTGATGCTAAGCCGCTTATCAGCTGATGGCTAAGCCGCTTATCAGCTGATCTTTAAGCCGCTTAACAGCTGATGCTAAGCCGCTTATCAGCTGATCTTTAAGCCGCTTAACAGCTGCTGCTAAGCCGCTTATCAGCTGATCGTTAAGCCGCTTATCAGCTGATCTTTAAGCCGCTTATCAGCTGATCGTTAAGCCGCTTATCAGCTGATCTTTAAGCCGGCTAAGCCGCTAATACTGTAGCGCTAAGCCGCTAAACCTCTAATGGGCTTGCTTCGCAAGACGAAAAAACCCGCAAGACGAAGAGACTCGCGGAACGGATTCTTTTCGTCTTGCAAGGCACCACTGTATATCATTGATCCTTATTACAAGACTTGGTGGGTATCCTTTAACATTTTAGTCTAAGACACAGTTTCTCGGCCTGGTAAATGTGTGAAAATGTAGTCTATCCACCAAGGGTCTTACACAAAAGAATAAAATAGGGACTGTAAAGACTTTGAAACAGCAAATGTCCTGTACTAATTAATATGAAGATAGATAATGACTTTCAGTGGATACTGGTATAAGGTAGAACAGAAAAAAGCATTATAAAATCTCTTGAATGGAGCCAATACTTGTATAAATAAGGAGTGCACACTGTATGGAATATAGCAATAAACATGCATAGGATCAGGTTACTCTGTGTATTTATCTGTGGAGGCAGTGGTTGTGGGGATCACAGGATGCAGGGGCAGATTTAGGGCTGTGTGAGCAGTGCACACACTGGACACTGAGCTGAGGTGAAGCTGTCTCAAAGCCAAGTAAGAAAGGCGCTGGGCTTTGGGAAGGAGGTGTGAGGGCTCTGACAGGGTCCTAAAGTCCTCCTACCCAAAGCCTAGTTTCCCAGCTTTGGAAAGTAAGTAGGTGGGCTCTAGGACCCTGTCAGAGCCTTGTGCCTCCTTCCCAAAGCCGGGCATCTCCTTAACCACCTTTGAGAAGGTAGCTCAAGGATGCAGGATGGGGGGAGGGCAAATTTTGCACTCACACAGGGTGCCAATGTACCCAGTTCCATCACTGCTGGATGGTTTGCATTTCTTTAAGTGAAATAATGCACACCGAAATCTCAGAGTAGGAGAGACCTTAAGATCATTAAGTCCAGGGTCTTAAATTACCTGGCTGCACCGCTGATAATGACTATTTATTTTTTAGTAATAGTTATATTTTATTGAAGTGATTTCAATTAAAAGAAATAAAGGGATACAGGGAAAAAGAAGGAAAGGTGAGGGGGGAGAAAAAAGAACAACAAAGATACGTAAAAAGTGTGTGTGAGAGAGAGAGAGTGTGTGTGTGCGCGCGCGCGTGCGCACACACACACGCAAAAATGTAATATATGATATTCCCATACATTCTTATATATATATATTTACTTTAGAGTAAATAAAGTGCTGGACTAGGATCCGTGAGATCCAGGTCCAAATCCCTACTAGGCCATGAAGGCTGTACTTTAATATCACTACATCAAAGGTCAGTATTAATCAGGAGTCATGTGCTTGGATTTTGCATTCTTTTCTCAAAGGACTGTGCATTTGCATTTGTGGTTGATGACTAACATGTGTCATGTTCCATCCCTGTTTCTAGATAAGCTTCTGAAGGCACTGAAAGATGAAAAGACGCAAGATGTGATGACAGGACTGACTCTGAAGAAACATTTGCCGGCATCATGAGGGCTATTTACGTCTAGCCTCACCTTCTTCTAATGGACTCATTTGTATTATGCATGCTTCTAATGACTCTTCCTTTTTAATCCTACACTGCTGATGTGGAAATTTCCAACTTATTCTTCAATTAGCATTTTGTACATTTCCCCATTACTAATATACATTTCAAATACAAAGTTTCAAGTTTGCAGTTTTTCAACAGATAACTGAATGTGTACTACTGGCATCACCACCAACATCCTGTTTGTTTCAGATCTCTGACTGCGCCATTCATGACAGTGTCATGGACTGGCTGGATGCAGAGGAATGGTGGGAGGCACCTGCTGGGGAACCCCCAAGGGAAGAAGGCTCAGAGCTCAGGGGACTGATGGTGGGACAACAAGGAGTGGTCAGAGGGAGAAGACTGGGAGGAGGAGGAGATGCCTGAAGCTGAAGAGGTAACAGGGTTCAGTGAGCAGGAAGAGGCTGTGGCAGAGAGCAGCCCAGAATCAGAGGCAGAATCGGGGGGGGGGGAGAGGCAGAGCTCAGGCAGGCTACTGAAGAAGCCAGGGAGTCTCCCCCTCCTGCTGCAACCAGCTCCCCTCCTCTGCTGGTTTCCTAGAACCCAAAGAGGTATGAAGAGGGTGGTAGTAATGAAGACAGTAATGGTGGAGAAGTCTCAGGTTCCTTGGGAAGGACCTGGAAGAAGAGGAGATTTAGAGAGCTGTAGGAAGGCAGGGACCTTCAGTCCTCACAACTGCTGCATTGGGGCAAGACCTACTGGGAAGAGTTGCTGTGCTTACTAGGCCTAAGCTGTTTTGTTTCTTTGAATAAAGAGTTAATTTCACTGGCACCTTGTGAGTTATGGCTGACCTGCCCCTGACACCCACCTCAACGGTATGCAGTGCAGTCCTACGTATAAAAGAAAAGGCTCCAGTTCCTCCTGTCTTATATATCCTCTCCACTGTAATCAAATCTTCTTTGGAGAGCCGGTGTGGAGTAGTGGTTAGAGTGCTAGACTTGGACGTGGGAGATCAGTGTTCTAATCCCCACTTGGCTGTTAAGTCGACTGGGTGACTTTGGGCCAGTCATTGTCTCTCAGCCTAACCTACCTCACAGGATTGTTGTGAGGGTATTAATGGAGAGGAGAAGAAGTGAGCTCTTTTGAGAAGAAATGCACCAAGAATAGCAATAATAAACAAAAAACACATAATTTCAATGCAATTGGTTGTGGGGAGGGGAGTGAGTGATATGGCAGAGATGGTGCATGTGCTGCCTCCTCCTCAGAAGTAAGCCCTATTCACTGCAAAGGGACTTCTCCCCAGGTAAAAGAGTTCCACAACACAAGGAGGGGTGCCAGAAATGAACAACAGAGGAAGCAGGAAGAAGTTGAGGCACGCAGGAGTGAGGGAAATGTGACCTGCTTATGGGGAGTAAAAAGCAGGGTTGGAAGTGAGATTTTGGGTGGTGCCGATGGGGCCATGGAGAATTCTCATTTTTAAAGATGTACTTTATCCACTAGATGGCAGTATGCAACAATATTTATACATTTGGAAAATTTTACCATACTTTTTAACCAGGTGAGATGGCCTGTTCTAACCTTTCCTCCATTTATGAAACATTTCAAATCAACATCTTATATTCCACATCACCTCTTTCACTGGCAACAAAACAATCTGCCAAACAGCTGTAATCTGACACTTTAGGATTGATCAGCTGCAGAGATGCCACTGAAAATAGTTTTAACATGCCTGAGGATCTGCACGACAGGATGTAACCCAGCAGCTGCATCACGTACCAGAGGGTTTTTCACCCTGCTGTTTTCATCTTGGAATTGTGTCTAGAAGGTGGCCTTATGGCTTGCAACATCTGGACTAATTTTTGACTAGTCTTTATTTTTATTTTATTATTATATATATATTTTAATTTTACCTCTTCTCCCCATCCCCTGCTTTGTATCTGGTGAAGAATTCTGCATGACTCAAGAGCTTGCCAATATTTTGTGAAATTTCAGTTGGTCCTCATAAAAGGTATTGCCCAACTGTGGATTTTGTTGTTAAAAAACTACTTTCCCCTCTCCGATTGCATGGAGTCCGGACAGCCCCGTGGTTTTCCACGGATCTGAGGGCAATGAAACAATCGTTGAGACGGCTAGAGCGCCGGTGGCGGATAACCCATTCTGAATCTGACCGGACACGGGTTAGAGCTCAATGTCGAGCCTACCAAGTGGCGATAGCGACGGCGAAGAAGACTTTCTTCACCGCCTCTATTGCATCTGCGGAAAACAGCAGCAGGAGACTCTTTCAGGTGGTTCGCAATTTAGCGGAACCACCTGCTCCATCAGGGCCCAGTAGCGGCCACATGATCTCCTGCAATGACTTTGCAAAGTTTTTGCAGATAAAGTCGCTCAGATTCGAGAAGAGTAGACTCCACCGTGGGAGCAGGGCCGGGGCGGGAGAGTGCTAGAGTCCTGTCTAGTCAAGTTGTGTGGGATCAATTCCAATCTGTTACCCCCGAGGATGTGGACAGGCTGCTTGGACGAGTGAGAACCAACCACTTGCCTCCTTGATCCTTGCCCATCCTGGCTTATAAAAGCTAGCCGGGAAGGACTGGGCGATGGGCTTCGTGGGGTGGTGAATGCTTCCCTCCGTGAGGAGCCTTCCCAGACCCGCTGAAAGAGGCGGTTATTAAACCGCTTCTTAAAAGACCATCTTTAGATGCGGCCACAATAGCCAACTATCGCCCAGTCTCAAATCTTCCATTCTTGGGCAAGGTGATTGAGCGAGTGGTTGCTGAACAACTCCAGGCACGCCTGGAAGAAGCGGACCATTTGGATCCCTTCCAGTCGGGATTCAGGCCTCATCATGGGACTGAAACTGCCTTGGTCGCACTGGTTGATGATCTCCGGCGGGCTAGGGACAAAGGTGAGTGCTGTTTCCTAGTTCTGCTGGATCTCTCAGCGGCGTTTGATACCATCGACCATAACATCCTTCTGGACCGTCTTGAGGGGCTGGGAGCTGGGGGCACTGTTATACAGTGGTTCCGCTCCTTCCTCCTGGGCCGTGTTCAGAAAGTGGTGGTGGGGATGAGTGTTCAGACCCCTGGGCCCTCACTTGTGGGGTGCCTCAGGGTTCTGTCCTCTCCCCCATGCTTTTCAACATCTACATGAAGCCGCTGGGAGAGATCATCAGGGATTTGGGCTGGGTGTTCATCAGTATGCAGATGATACCCAGCTCTATCTCTCCTTCAAATCAGAACCAGTGAAGGCAGTGAAGGTCCTGTGTGAGTGCCTGGAGGCGGTTGGAGGTTGGATGGCGGCTAACAGATTGAGGTTGAATCCTGACAAGACAGAAGTACTGTTTTTGGGGGACAGGAGGCGGGCAGGTGTGGAGGATTCCCTAGTCCTGAATGGGGTAACTGTGCCCCTGAAGGACCAGGTGCGCAGCCTGGGAGTCATTTTGGACTCACAGCTGTCCATGGAGGCACAGGTCAAATCTGTGTCCAGGGCAGCTGTTTACCAGCTCCATCTGGTACGCAGGCTGAGACCCTATCTGCCTGCGGACTGCCTCACCAGAGTGGTGCATGCTCTGGTTATCTCCCGCTTGGATTACTGCAATGCGCTCTACGTGGGGCTACCTTTGAAGGTGACCCGGAAACTAAAACTAATCCAGACCGCGGAACCTAGACTCGTGACTGGGAGCGGCCGCAGAGACCACATAACACCGGTCTTGAAAGACCTACATTGGCTCCCAGTACGTTTCCGAGCACAATTCAAAGTGTTGGTGCTGACCTTTAAAGCCCTAAGCGGCCTTGGTCCAGTATATCTGAAGGAGCGTCTCCACCCCCATCGTTCTACCCGGACACTGAGGTCCAGCACTGAGGGCCTTCTGGCGGTTCCCTCACTGCGAGAAGCCAAGTTACAGGGAACCAGGCAGAGGGCCTTCTCGGTAGTGGCGCCTTCCCTGTGGAGCACCCTCCCACCAGATGTCAAAGAGAACAATAACTACCAGGCTTTTAGAAGACATCTGAAGGCAGCCCTGGTTCGGGACGCTTTTAATGTTTGATGTATTATAGTATTTTAATATTTTTTTGGAAGCCGCCCAGAGTGGCCGGGGAGGCCCAGCCAGATGGGCGGGGTATAAATAATAAATTATTATTATTATTATTATTATTACTTGCCAAAGGGAGGGGAGGCATTACAGGACAACAATATAGAACATTTCTTCCTTCCATCTCCTCCCCAATAACTTGCCCTGCTCAGGACAAACATCCTAAACACCAACCTTTGGCGGGGAAAGATCTCTCTGCTGAAGATGTTGGGCCTCATCTGCACTACACATGTAAAACAGTGTCATACCACTTTAAACAGTTATAGTTTTCCCCAAAGAATGCTGTAAAGTTAAACGTGCTGAGAGTTGTTATAAGCCCCCCCCCCTTCCCCTTGGAGAGCTAAAATTCCCAGAGTGGTTAACAATCAACCCCTATTCCCAGAAAATTCTGGGAATTGTAGCTATCTGAGGGGAATGGGGTGTTCTAGCAACTCTCAGCAGCCTTAAAAAACTACAGTTCCTAGAATTCTCTAGGGGAAGCTATAACTTTTTGTATTATAAGTGGTATGATGCCGCTTTAAATGTGTAGTGCAGATGGGGCAACACTGGGATAGTACACAATACTGGGCTAGGCAGGCAAATAGTCTGAGCTGATAGAAGGCAGCTTCCTACATTCCTCAGGTGCTCAGCACATGAAATTTTGCATCCTTGACCAGGACCATCAGGTGTGGCAGGGCAGAGCTACCCTCCTGGCAGCTGCATTGCTGCAATTTATGTGGGTGGGGCAAGGACAGGGGCAAGGTCAGAGCTGTGGAGACTCACTAACAGAGTCAATCCAGCACTCTCACTGGTGGATCCAGGCACCTCTAACCCTTGCCACCACCCTGCCCACATAAGCTGCAGAAACTCGGGAGTTAAGAGAGTGGCGTCATCTCCACCACACCAACCATTAGTGGAGTGAGGTTCTGGAACGGAGGCTAGGATTCTGACATGAAGAAGCAATGGCTACTCCACTGTTTCTAATGGAGTCAAAGGTTTTTAATGAGAGCCAAACAAGTATACAGGATTAGAATTGTGTGTCTGGATAGGGTTGCTGAAACACACACACACACACACGGAGAG